AACACCCAGTAACAACAACAATAACAACAACAACAAAACAAACAGAAACCAAGACACTTCCCTTTTCCCCTTTAGGCATCTGTGTTCGTTCGTGTATTCAAAACTTTCGAGTTTCATGGAACCCCCCTAAAAAAAAAAAAAATCTTAATACCAACAAAACCTATTGTAGGAGAAAAAGACGTTTCTTGAAACTTTAATAAAGAAATAAAGAATTCATCTCTGAATATTATGAAGATCTGATAAGCAATTTCACAATCAGCACTTGTCATCATACCGACAAATCACTAGCCACAAATGGGATAATTCATACAAAGTGTCTTTCCTAGGGAAACAAAATTATTGTACCCATACAATCCTCGATCCTCGAATCCACTGCCTCACGATTACGAGTCGGGTAATCCAACAACGAAATTTCCGACGTGAGATACTGGTGTACAATACGTAAGCCTCGGCTGTGACATGTAGCCATGTCCAGTGATAATAAATAAGGTCTATAGGTGTTACAAGAGAGTAACAAACCGAAAAATGGAGGAGAGCTAAGTACAATAGATGTTTGATGGGAAAGAAGGAGCAAACCGCAACTGTAACAGAGCACACGCCAACCACCAATCGCTACTTCTGTAAAGAGTTGAGAAACAAACAATCAACACAAGCACTCACGATGAAGGGATATTCGATCTTGTAGCCGGTACATAGGACGACAAGTTCAACATCATGATACGTCCCATCATCAAACGTCACACCTGGGGATCAAACATCGACTTTAAAAAAAAGCTCAGTCAAAATTGTCTAAGACGTCCATACTACCATTGTCAAGGCGAAAAGTGGTTGTCTTAAACAGGTTGACGTATGGGAAAGTGTCATTATGAAACAGAAGGGGGAAGGAAGCGGTCGCATGTACAGGTGATTGCCCCGAGAGGTGGCCGTTAGAGCAGGTTTGAATGTTTATTATCTCCAAAGTTCATCAATTATAGCAAAAGATAAAACAATTATTTAGCAGTATACGCAGGACAAGGAGTTGCACTTGCTGGTTAACTAATCTACACAGGGTAGGAACGATTCAGGTGTTCGAATCCCGAGTGAAGTTTGGGTTTTTCTTGCCGCTTCTAATTAATTAACCCTTGTGGTTCCTAAATGGGGAGGCATGACTGTGCTATTCCAATTTTTGCCCACCGTTCTGAACTTATTTGACTAACTTCTCACTCCCGGAGTCTCCACTCTCTGAGGAGCAACATTTGGCTCGTTGTGACGTCATTCAGGCAAGATATGTTTACAAATATATTTTAGGATCTTCTTTTTTTTTTTTTGGAGGGGAGGGGGACATTACAGTTACCAATAATGCGAAACAAATTGCAACACTGTATTGACTTGAATAAGACCATTCTTTACGCAACTGGGCAGGGGAGGAGAAAGAGAGGAAGGCAAAGAAAGAGGTGAACCGACAACATTGCGGAGTGGACAGGGTAATCCTTCGCCCAAACTCAGGCGCTCTCAAAACAACCGTGAAAAGTGGGGGCACATGAGGAGGCTCTCTACGACCCTCGTTTATTTATGACATCAGTGAGCAGTAGGTATTAAGCAGGAAGACTGTCTTGAAGTGCAGAAAGATAGATCTACACCAAACATAACAAAAAGCAAAGTAATATCACCCCCTCCCTCTTTTTCCTCCTCAACCCACTTTATA